CCGCAGCGGACAGGGGGTCCGTGCCTGCCTGCCCCCAAAGAAAACACCAACGCCGCCACACCCCGACAGTCCCGACAGCCAGCAGCAGGGCCTGCATCGACGGGAACGCGCGGCGGGGCGCGAAAAAACGAGGCGTGGCGTGCCCGTCACTTCTTTGGCCCTTTTTGCCGGGAAAGAAGAAGGAGAAGACCTGTTGGAGCGAGGGCGAGGCGAGGGCGAGGCGGCGCGGCCCGGCGGGGCACGTTCGAATCTAGTTTCCCTCCTTTTTGACGTAATGATGATGTGACGCGGGAGTGGCAGCCGGCCGGGCCGGCACGCGCTGCGAGCGAGCTGCGATCCGCTTCAATGGATACTTTCATACTTTTATTTGGCGCGAGGCGGGCGCCGCTCTGCGCCGCCCGGCCCATCAGACGTATCTATCACTCCAAAGACGAGCCCGGGCGCGCGCCGCCCCGCCGCCTGTCTCAGGTGGCCTTGATCCCTCGTCAGAGGGCACTCCATTTTCTGGCGGGTGTCCGAGCAAATCCGCATCTCACTGCCAGTGCGCCAATGCGGCCGCCCCGCCTGACGTCGGCCCGTTTTTCCGCGCCGCCACCAACTTCCAGCACTTCCAGTGGCCCGGTCGCAAAGCCGAACCGGGACAGCTCGCGTCGACTGGCGCCGACCGACCGCCAGAGCACCGAGCTCACCCCCATCAACAACATCCAAAGCACGGCGCTGCACGCGGGGGCGGCGGGGCGCGGCGGGGCGGCGGGCCCTTCTAAGTCATGTCAGAGAACTGACGTCAGCGCCGCTGTACCGTCGCGGTGAAGGCAAGGCGGGGCCGCAGGGCACCTTGTACCTCCCCTGCACAGCAATTCGGCACAGCGGTTTGTCGCTCCGTCTCTCTCGCGCCCGCGCAGAACGCGCCGTGAGCGCGACAAAGACCGCGCGGTACTGCTGTGGGCTGTTGTGGGCTGTCGTGGGCTACCAGGGGCGGCCCCAGAGGGGGCAGGGCATCCGGCCGCCCCGCCAGTGGACTGATTCCGAGAGTCAACCGTCTCTCTCGCACTCATGGAGCGTCCCCTGTGTGCGAGGGAGACAGAGCGACGAGAAGGCCTCTCCGGCCGCCGGGCTACCCACCGCGAGCTTATCTGATGGAGGCACCAGGATGCCGCCCCCCTCCCCGACGGGGGCTCCGGATCACGCGATCCTCCCCGGGAGGACGAGCTCTCCGCCACTCTATTTTTATCAGCGCCTCTGTATAAATAGGTGCTATCAGTGTCGACGAGCAGCGCCGTATGCCGCCGGGGCGGCAGGGCCGGCAGGTGCACTCGGCGGGGGGACGCCGACGACGGACCCCGTCAGCCACTGTCAGTCCGGCCGCCGCGGACGACTTCTCTCGGCAACAAGAAGGTCGCGACCCCGTCACTCTGCAGCCCGGGCCGTCGGGCCGACCCACTCCCGGCCCGGAACACGCCATATGCCCAGAGCGCCCTGCGGCCCTGCCAACAAACTCTCCAGAAAGCGCATCACCCAGCCCGTTCGGTTCGGTTCGGCGGCAGGGCGCGGCCCGCAGCATCGCGAGCGCCGCGCCTCGGAGCACGCGGGGGTCGGCGCGGCGTGGGTGGCGCGGCGGGGAGCGCCGGCCTCATCTCAAAGCACGCAGCAGGGCGGAAAAGACAGTCCTCTCGGAAAAGCAGAGAGACGGCAAGGATTTCCTTCCTAAAGCAGACCATCATCTATCTCTCCGAGCGAAACGAATACGGAAATGAAATCTGAGAGAGAGGGACGCTCTCGAAAGGCACGCTGCCGCCCTCAGCGGCGCCGTCCGTCGCTGCCGTCGTGCCGTCCGCTCTGCCGGACAGCACGTACGGGCTTCGGAAAGCTGCCCCCACCCCCGGACACTGCCATGCCGGGGCAACACGCGTTGCACGTTGCAGTCCCCGCCATCCCCGCCGCGCGAGAGGGAACGTCCCGACGGTCGCCGAGGCACAAACTGGAGGCGACCCCCCGGCCCCGGGGCGGGCCGGGGCGGGCCGTGGCGGGCCGTGGCGGGCCAGCACCCCTGGCATTTATTAAGCCGCTGCTGTGCCGTGAGTAAACACGCTGCCGTTAAGGCGAGGGTAATCTACAGGGCAAGGGGGCGGTGAAGGGGTCACAAGCCAGGGGAGGGTGGTGGGGGGGATGCTGGGCCGCGGAAAAATAACACTTGGTTGTAGCGCCGCGGGAATGTCCGCTCCGGCGAAGCCGCGACAGCAAATCAATACTGTTACTAATATTTTGGGGCATTAACGCCGCGGCCTTTCATTTGTCGAGCGGTTCGGGAGAGTCGTTTCGTCGCTCTGTCTCTGTCGCACTCGTGCGGCGCTCCGTGGCGGTGCGAGAGAGACAGCGATGAATCGCTCGGCAGCCCTTGGGCAGCCCTTGGGCCTCCACAGCCCCTGCTTCAGTTTTAATCCGCGTGGAGGCGGCCGGGCTGCGGTGCTGCGGTCTGCCCAGGAAATGGAGTCACTGAACCGTGGCGACAGCGACAAAGGCGGGGCGTCGACGCGGCGGCACGGCGCCGCCACTGTCCTCTCGGAGGGGGCGGTGCGGGCACGGCGTCGAACAGCCGCTAACGCGCGCCAACGGCCGCCAACGGCCGCCCGAGGTCGCCGAGGCCGGCGCGCGTTGCCGTCAGAACGTCTACCAAAGCCAGACCCAGGCAACGCCCCGCAACGCCCCGAGGCGCTCACTGCAACGGCCGTCAGCGCGGGCGGCACCGCCATGCACCCTGCGCTTCCGTAAAGTCATTATGTCTCTCTCGCACTCGCAAGGGCCGCTTCGTGAGTGCGACAGAGATAGCTGGGAGCCACCCTCATGACAGAGAGGCAGCGGGGGAGTCTTAATTGGGTCATGCGGCGCCAGGCCGCGCCAGGCTGCGCCAGGCAGGGCGTCCCGTCGGGCCCGTCGGGGAGGCGAGCAGGGAGAGCAGCGAGGAGGGGAAGCCGCCGAATAATCGTTGGCCCACTTTGCTCACACGTGTGGCGCCATAAACAGGTGACGCGAAGCAGCGAAGCATGGCGGCGGAGCAGGCGGAGCGGAGCGCACTCAACAAGTGTACACGGCGCCGTCCCGCCGTCACGCATGCCCGACGCACGCACACGCGCGATAAGACGAACACGCCGTCCTCGACACCTTCCTCGACGCCGTCCTCGACGCCGTCCTCGACGCCGTCCTCGACGCCGTCCTCGACGCCGTCCTCGACGCCGTCCTCGACGCCGTCCTCGACGCCGTCCTCGACGCCGTCCTCGACGCCGTCCTCGACGCCGTCCTCGACGCCGTCCTCGACGCCGTCCTCGACGCCGTCCTCAACGCCATCGTTGCCACCATCATCGACGCCGTGGTGACCGCGTGTGGCCGGCCGGTGGGCCGCGGGGCGCGTGCACGCAAGATTCCTTTAGGAACGACATCGGGTCGCAGCCGGCCCACGTTAATCAGGCTATTCTTGGCACGCAGGGCCGAAGGGGCACAGACATTATCGACCCCGGCCGTGCCGCGCCGTACCGCTCTCCCCCTCCCCCGACCCGCATGGCGACTTCAATCAAGCCAGCGCATTCACGCCATCGACGAGTGCGCGGCGCCGAAGGACGGCCGGACGCGTCCGGACGCCACACACCGTCCGTCGAGCCGTCCACCGCCGCGGCGGGGCGCTCTGCGCTAGCTCTGCTCTAGCTCCCCCCGTATCAGTAGCAATTTGTCTATCGACCCTCGCCTCGCGCCGTCTCCTCCCGCCCTGCCCCGCCCGGCCCTGTCCGGCCCTTGCTGGCCTTTGCTGGCCCTGCCTCCCTTCCGTGGGGGAAGTCCACGACACGACGGGGCGGTCGGCCGGAGGGCCGGAGGGCCCCGAAGTGAATAAACTGTGCCGATGCAGGCCGAGCCGGACGACGGCGTGGTACGCCTTCCCCACGTCGCCAGCCTTTATTGGTCCTTTGAGACGGGGCGAGCAGACGGAGGGACGGACGGGCAGACAGACCGACGGGAGGCGGCGGCTGCGACACGTGGCGAGTGCAGACAGTCCATCCGTCCGGAACCCGGGACGCGGCAAAGGCACGCGGCAAAGGCACGCGGAAAACGGCGGCGGCACTGCGCGTTCATTACCCTTTTATTGGAGACAAGCAGAAACAAAAGCAGGCAGCGGCGTCGCGCATATTCCGGGAAGGCCCTCGTTTACGGAGACCCACCTCGGAACGCGGGCACGTGTTGAGGCCTACACTTCAGGGCGAAGCCGTGGACGACCCTTTCATTACCTAATAACGATGGCAATTTAATTACAAATCGATAAAACTCTATGTTTGTTGCATGGGCTGCCCTGTAGCCGGTGTCCTCGCCATGCTGTCTCTCTCGCACTCGACACCCCGTGAGTGCGAGGGAGACAGCGACGGCGCCGTTTGGATTCGAGCTGCGCTAGCTGCGCTGGCATCCGAAATGGAGTGGCTAATTGATGGTCCGTGTAGTTGGTTTGCCAGTGTCGGGCAAGCCAGGCGTTTGGCGCGGTCGGCGAGGCTGCCCGCCCGGCGAAGCGAGCGAAGCGAGCGAAGCGACCGAAGCCCTCCCGGCTCCGATGTGCATCAGCGGCGTCGCGTTTCGCCCAACAGAAAGTGATACTCCACCCGACGCGGCGCCCCGCTCCCCGCGCACCCCCTGCCACCCCTGCGGCTGCAGACTGATTCCGAGAGGCGTTTCCGTCGCCCTGTCTCTCTCGCACCTGTAGGGGACGCCTCATGAGTGCGAGAGAGACACAGCGACGAAAACGACCCTCGGAATCAGTCTGCTGGTGTGGCTGCAGTGCAGTCTCTCCGCCAGGAGTTTCCCGTGGCGCCATCTGGCGGCAGACGGCGTAAGCGCGGCCCAGCGGCACGGGGTATGTCCAACCACGCGTCGCGGTGCGAATACCCCCCGTTGCGAGGGACTCTGGCCGCCCCGTCGCTACCCCGCGGCCGATGCTGGTGTCTCAGGGGAAAGAAGTACGACGACAGTCTCCATTCGTTGCGTTTATTGTTTTTTCTCACAGAAATATGACACTAATCATTTCGTTTAAATAAATACATTTTGGCCGTGCCCCTACTGACATTTATGAAGTAATGGTAATAAATTAATGTTAGTTGTAGTGTTTACACGTCTACGTGTCCTCTCACAATGTTGGACTCGTAGCTTCGAGCATGGCGCGATCAAAAAATAGTTGAAAGTAAACGCGGCTAACAGCCAGTCTAAACTGCCATTCATTAAAATATAACTACGTGTAGCTGTGATAGTCACCACGCAGCCACTCTCATTTATTTACATACTCTAAAGTTGACAAGATTTGACAAGTACGAGGGCAAATTATTCCGCACCGACAGGCAGCAGTAGTAGAAGAAAAGAAACACGTAGATCGCGGGAAAAAAACAGCTACAAGATATGGTTCTCACCCGAATCAGAAAGGCACAACACTTCACACCACAATGCACAAATAGACCGATCGTATTCCCTTTTGTCCCGTCCCGAAGAGCTCTTTCTGACTGGGTCGGCGCCGATAGAGGATTAGGCCTACAGATCACATAGATCGGTGCTTTCCAAAAAATATTGACAAGCACCAAAGCAGGTACAAGAGACTGGTAGTCAACACAACACATCCATTAGACGCAGCTTAGAGCACACTTGGCTTAAGCGCCAAGCAAAACAGCAGAGCTATTGACTAAGACACCGACAACAACGCCGTCCCCAGGACACCCCCGCCGGCTCAGCCGCACATTCAGAGCCGGGCCGGGCCCGGCGGCGTTTCACAAGATCCGCATCAAATCGAACATTGACCAGAGCACACTTTGACTAACAAATAAATGGCCAGTTTCACATAAACCATCACAGATCGGTACAAGTCGTCCGCGCGCGCGGCGCCTCTTCCTCGAGTCGTGGCACAAGAGTCGACGTGAGCGCCCACGGTGACGTCATCCAAGCGCGGGCCCGCATGGCCCACGTGGCCCGGCGTCCCCTCAGGTGTGGTCCACCCCGTTGGCGGTCGGGCTGGCGGCCGGGAACGGAGCCGCGGTGGGAGTGGCCGGGGTGGCCCCCGTGGTCGGGGTGGCCGTGGTCGGGGTGGCCGTGGTCGGGGTGGCCGTGGTCGGGGTGGCCGCCGTGGGCGACAACGCCGCGCTAAGCCCCGCTCCGGGGGTGGAGGCTTGATCCGCCGGCCCCTCCAGGAAGTACGTCGTCATGTCCCCCTTGCCCTTGACGTGGATGTTGCCGCGGCACGTCAGCGGGTAGCCCTTCACCTTCAGGATCTCGTACAGCTCCTGCGTCACCTGGAATCAGGGAAGACGAGGGTCGGACCGTCAAGCAGTGCCGGAAAGACCCGGCCCGGCCGGCGGGCGGGGCACTCGGGGGAGCGGCGCACGGCGAAGCACGGCGAACGGGCCGCGACGCCGCGACCTAGATACAGACACTTGTGGCGCTCAGCAGTCCCTGAGTCAAGCAACAGCGGCTCACCGTACCAGCAAGCGTTTTATTCGAGACGTAAAACGTCTTCCGAAGAAATTTCTCATATTACGAAGGAAAATCAACGTAGTTTTCCTCTGCTTACAAACATTTTTCTTGGTATCTTACAATGAAAATCGGAAGAAGGGCTCCTATCATTGAGGTATTTTGATTCGTCTTATGCCTGATTTGAATTGAATTGGCTGTAGAGTAGCTGGCCCACTGTGGGAGCGCCCGCGAATCGCGGGTTAGGCAGGCCCGCAACACAGCGGTACAGCGCGGGCCGGCCCGCCGCCATTGCCATTACCATTAAGGGCTAGATCACACATGATGGGCCAGGCGCTATGCGCTGCGCGAGGCGCGAGCCCCTTCTGGGAAAAATAAAAAGCTGTTAGGAAGGGAAGGAGACGCAAGCTCACCTGGATCTTGTCGAGCACGCCGGTCGAGTCCATCCGTGAGGCGACGTTGACGGCGTTGCCCCAGATGTCGTACTGCGGCTTGCGGCTGCCGATGACGCCGGCCACCACGGGGCCGATGTTGATTCCTGCGGGGCAGAGCGAAGCCGTCGTCAGATGCGAAGCCACACGGTGCACAGTGGGCCTGAAGACCGGCGGAGGCGGCCAAAACTCTAGACGCGTTTTGAGCTCCAGTGTTGCAAAATGGGACTCGAAACGAACGTGTGACCCACCAATGGCTTGCTCTCCGAACGAGGAATCCATTGGTGGGGTCACACGCTCGGTTCGAGTCCTGCTTAGCGACTCTGGAGCTCAAAACGCGTCTAGAGTTTTGGCCGCCTGCGCCGGTCTTCTGGCCCACTGTGCGGTGGTCCTGCAGGCGGCAGGCGCCGGGGGAGAACCAGCTTGCACAAAACGCGCCGGGAGACAATGGCTTGCAAATCACCGAGAGCGACTCGACTACAGCGAAAACAGCAGAGGAAAGAGAAGCCCTCGAACGCGCTGCGCGGCGTGCCCCTCACTTCGGCAGCCGCGGTTCGGATTCGAACGGACGGACCGAACGGCCGAACGCCAACTCGGAGGCTCACCGATGCGGATGCGGAAGTTGTTGAACGAGTGCTCGTTGACGTACTCCAGCTGCTCGCGGATCCGCAGCGCGAAGTCGGCCATGGCGGTCACGTGCTTGAGGCCGCGCGTGTCGCACGTGCTGGGCGTCAGGCCTGGGAAAAAACAATGCGCGAGTTTGCGAAATTCCTGCCTCCACTGCAAATTGAAAGGCGAGTTTCCTTGCCTCTCCTGCCAAGCTAGCTTACCTGACGCCGCCATGTACGTGGCACCCGTCGTCTTGATCTTCTCGATGTAGCGGAAGTCGTCCTCGGCCAGGAGGTTGTCGAAGTCGGCGATGATCTCGTTGAGCAGGCGCAGGCACTCGACGCCCTCGTTGTTGGCCTCCAGCTCCACGTAGAACTCGGAGAAGTTGGCCACGGACGCGAACATGATGCACACCAGGTCGCACTGCTCGTGGTAGAGCTCCTGGAACACCGGCAAGAAGGTGAGCGTTGAGCCAACCCTGCCGCCGCCACCGCAAAAACCACGCCCGACACCTCCCCCTCACTCACGTCCGAGTTCTTGTCGCTGTTCAGGAAGTGCTCCGCCACGTGCACGGGCAGGATGTTCGCCAGCAGCTTGCGGTTGTAGGCCTCCAGGTGCTCCATGTCCTCCTTCTCCTCTGTGAAACGAAAGCAACACATTGCAAAAGTGTGTACTGAATGCACTCTGAGGTATCCAGTGTACCCAGCTGTCTCGAAGCGTGCCATTGCCTTATTGGCCCCCTACCTGTGGCCTGCAGCTTCCACAGGAAGTCCAGCCGGTACGTGGCCTCGGTGTGCAGCGAGTGGATCACCAGGACGACCACCATGCCCACCAGCACGACGAGCACCAAGTGGCGCGGCGCCAGCAGCGACACCCACGCCGAGCTCCTGCGGACCAATCGAATTACAGTGTGGGGAGAGTGGGGAGGCACCTGCAGCGCAGCCAGCGCAGCCGGAGCACGGCTACCCCTGGGGAGCCACGACGGCGAGGCCGTGCCAGTGCTCCGCAGTGCTCACCCCGGTATGGAGGGGTCCCTCTCGACGAGCAGGACGATGACAAAGTAGCCCAGCAGCAGGCAGCCCATGAGGACCATCTTGAGCAGCGCCACCAGCACCTGGTACACCGCGCACAGCGCCAGCACCAGCAGCACCGTCAGCGCCAGGTACTGCGCAAAGAAGAAAGGCGGCCGAAGTTGGCGGCCACTCGGCCAAAGAGAAGGCAGCCGAGACGTCCTCAACAGCTTGGTACTCACGTCGGGCGGGAACAAGTCCTGGACCAGCAGGGCCTGCGCGGTGCAGTTGAGGGCGGCGGCGGAGTTGTTGGCGGTCTCGAGCACCGGCCGCGGCGCCTCGGTGGCCGTCAAGTTGAGCAGCGGCTCCACGGAGGCGTTCCAGCACGGGATCATGCCGAGGACCACGTCGAACGACGACAACTGCGTAGGGGGACAAAGGGAAGCGTCCATAAAGGCGGCCTGCCTGAAGGGCCGGAGCAGCTTAAGTTAGCGCGCTTTGACTTACCATCGGGGACAGCGCCGCCACGTAGCTGCAGATGATGACGACGCAGGCGAACAACTGGGCCACTTTCCGGTCCCCGTGGATGAGCGCGGCCGGCAGCTTCAACACTTTGTTCTGCCGGCAGAGAGAGAGAGCAACAATGGCGGAGCCGCGGAGCGTGGATGAATGGCGGGACAAGTTTGAGACTGTACCTTGCTCCTAATGGACACCACGATGGCGGTGATTCCCGCCACGATGAGCCAGCAGACGACCGTGACGACGAGCGGCAGCGCCGACCTGGCGAATCAGTTGCGTCAACGCCAATCGCCAGACATGACGATACACTGTCTCCTCGCTGGCGTCGCCGCGCCCAGCGACTGAACGTCGCATATTTCATCAAACAAGTGCGCGCTACTTCGTCAAGGACGTCTCCCACAAATGAATTCCGTGAAGCGAAGTTAATTTCACGGGCGATTTTCTAATTTGTAAAATGAGAACTGAGGACCGGGCCGGGTCGGCCTGTCCCGCGAGTCATGAATAGAGATGTCCCGTTCCCCAGACGGAGGCCTTTCGCAAGGCCGCGTCGCCGCGCCGCCCATTACGCGCGCCAACTTTCCCCACTTTTACACGTCTTACTTGACTCGCAGGATGAGCTGCAGGCTGAGGATGGTGCCCATGATGATGACGGAGCACACGAAGTACGTCGTCAGCATCCGGTCGCGCTCCTTCGAGTACTGGAGGACAAGCAGAGTGGCGGTTCGGTTACAGGTACACTGTAAGGGTCCCCGCCCCGCCGGGCTCCTTGCCGCCGACTCACCTTCCTCTCGATCTCGCCGTTCTTGAAGGTGAGCAGGAAGTTCCTGCACTCGGCGCGCAGCCTGTCGATGCTCCTGGCGTCGATGGCGCGCATCAGGTAGTCGTTCACCTCCTCCTGGGGGTCCTTCTCCTCCAGGCTGTCTCCGAAGCCGAGCCTGCGGGAAGACGATGTGCACGCAACGGACAAAGGAAGAACCAGGTCGAGAAAAGCAAGCAAGCCTTACTTGGAGTGCTTGCCGTGCTGGCTGCCGTGGCCCATGACGCGCAGCTCCTTGGCCACGTTCCCGTTGGAGAAGCCGAGGTGGCCGCCCGGCCTGCGTATTGACCGCTGCGTCTGTTTGCCGAGGGGAAACGAAACGCAATCCAATAAGCAAGCAGGTATATGCACGGCAATAGGGGTTCCCGGTTTTCAACGGACTCCCTGGAAATCGCCTGTCTTTTGTGTTGGCTTCCTGGAAACCCCAGGAACTGTGTTTGACGTGTCGCGCGGGGGACGGGAGACAAACCATTTCAAAGGGAAAGCTGGAAGGCGACCTGCGTTCTGGGAACAGCCGATGGCAGTGGCTAATCCACGCACGGACGTTGGCTAAAGCCCCCGCTGCCTGAAATTCTGGCCGCGCCATCCGCGCCACTGGCAGGCGTGGCGGCCAAGGGCGGCCAGCACCCCAACAAGTGCCTCGCCGCGCTAGCCGCACTCACCTGGGACCGCTTCGACTTCTCCGGCACGATGAGCAGCGTCTCGATGTTGTGGTCCCGCAGGTACGAGTTCCTCTCGTCGCCGTTGCCCGGCTCCACGGCGTAGTCGCCGTCCAGGAACACGAACGTGTCCCGGGTGATGTGCACCCGCCTGGAACCGCCGCGTCGGTCAGCAACAGTGTCACAGCACCGTAAAGCAGTGGGCCAAAAGACCGGTGGAGGCGGCAAAAATTCGAGACGCGTTTTGAGCTCCACAGTCGCTTAACAGGACCTGAACTGAACGTGTGACCCCACCAATGGATTGCTCTCCGAACGAGGAATCCATTGGTGGGGTCACACGTTCGGTTCGAGTCACATTTAGTGACTCTGGAGCTCAAAACGCGTTGAGTTTCGGCCGACTCCACCGGTCTTCCGACCCACTGTGCGCGTAAGTCCAAAAATAGTGAGCTGCTGACCCGGGGATGCCGCCGCTCTCCATGTGGTTGGCCAGGGTGACGTCGTTGGACCAGACGTCGAACTGCCACTTGCGCAGCCCCAGCACGCCGCAGTGCACGCGGCCGGTGTGGATGCCCACGCGCATGTTGACGTTGACGCCCATCACGTCGCGCACCAGCCTGCCGGACCACCAGTCGTTCGTTACCTCGCCCAAATACTCAAGGAAACAATTAGTCTGAAAAATTAAACGCCTGTACGCAGTCACAACAATAGGCTTCTTTTTTTTCTGATTGGTTACCACCATCAAGTCACCACGGTCCCTGCCCGTGCCACCCGCGCCCCCTCCCCAGGGGCGCAGCCAGGCCCGGCAGCCTGCTCCCTTTCAAAGGCCTGCCCCCCCCCCTCCCCCGCCACACCGCGAGGCGGGGAGGGCACCAGGGACGGGCTTCAACAAAAGACCAACCGGGCGAATTTTTGTCTGCGTCCCGTCCGGTCGGGCCGGGGCCGCCGAGGCCGCCGAGCGCTGAGCAGGCGGGGCCCCGACCTGCGCACAGCGGGCCAGAAGGCCGGTGGAGGCGGCCAAAACTCTAGACGCCTTTAGAGCTCCAGAGTCGCTAAAGAGGCCTCGAACCGAACGTGTGACCCCACCAATGGATTCCTCGTCCGAAGAGCAATCAATTGGTGGGGTCACACGTTCGTTTCGAGTCCCATTTAGAGACTATGGAGCTCAAAACGCGTCTCGAGTTTCGGCCGCCTCCACCGATCTTCTGGCCTACTGTGCTGCGCCGTCGCCGTGCCCGCCTCGTGAGCGAGCCGCGTGAGCCGAGCCACTGCAGGCGGCGAGGCAGGCGGAGGAGCCGGTCGTTCGGCGGCCCGATTCCGAGCACTCATTCCTCGCTGTCTCCCTCGCACCCTTGCGGGACGCTCCCCGAGTGCGAGAGAGACAGAGAGACGGAGAGACAGAGCGGGCTCAGCCTGCAGACGTCTCATTCCGAGTCGAGGGTCCAACTTTTGGATTTGAGCAGCGAGGTGCGAACGGAGAGCCGAGCCAGAGCTAAGAGACAAGTTTCCCCGAAAGCGGCGGCGCTGTGACAGGTAAGGCAAGTTTGGGGGGGAGGGGGGGGGAGGCGGTGTCCATGTCGCGCTCGGTGCCTGCGGTCAGCCCACGGTGGCCCCACTGGGCCCCACCTGGCAACTGCGCCCAATCAAGCTGCAGGCTGATTCCGAGAGTCGTTTTCGTCGCTCTCTCTCTCGCATCTGTGGGACGCACCATGGGTGCGAGAGAGACGGAGCGAACGGCTCTCGGAATAGGTTCGCAGGTGGCAGGTGCGCCACGGCCAGCGCGCGCGGCCTCGCCGTCGAAGGGCCCACACTGCAAGTGTGGATCACAGAGCCCCATCTCTCGGCATGGTGCAAACGTGGGGACGGCAAACTCTGCTCCTCGGGGTGCAGAAACTACAAACTTCCACACCTCTGCAATGTTAAAGTGCAGTGTACTCACGCGATGGCGTCGATCATGTCCAGGCCCATCTCCACGGCGCACTGGGCGTGGTCGGGCCGCGGCTCTGGCAGCCCGGACACGCAGTAGTAGCAGTCGCCCAGCAGCTTGATGCGCAGGCAGTGGTGTTCCTGGGCCAGCCGGTCGAACCTGCCAACAAGTTGCGTTTTTATTTCAACTTGAAGCGGCGCCTGACGCCCTCCACCGCGCAGTGGGCCAGAAGACCGGTGGAGGCGGTCAAAATCCCGGACGCGTTTTGAGCTCCAGAGTCGCTAAATGGGACTCGAACCGAACGTGAGACCCCACCGATGGATTGCTCGCCGAACGAGGAATCCATTGATGGGGTCACACGCTCGGTTCGCAGGCTCTGGAGCTCAAAACGCGTCCAGAGTTTTGTCCTCCGGCGTCGGTCTTGTGGCAAATCCACTGCGCTCCTCCCTTACCGTGCAAACAGCTCGTTGAGCAGGCGCACCAGCTCCTCGGCGGTGCACTGCGCCGAGAGCGACGTGAAGCCGCAAATGTCGGCGAATAGGATGCTGGACAAAGAACCAAGACGAACAAAAATGTAAGAATTCCTTTCCTCGAGATGAAAAAAACAATACAAACAAGGAACTTTGATTGCATTGGGCCCTCGGCCAGCCATGGCCCAGCTCTCGCGCTCTCCGCGGCGGAACGCGGCGGGACGTGACCGACCTGACGTTCTCGTGCCTCTGGATGTAGATCTTGTGGAACATGGTGTCCTGGGGCTTGCCCGCGATGTCGGCCTTCATCTCCATGGCCACGTGCCTGGGCAGCACGGACAGAAGCAGCCGCTCCTGCAAAGGGAGACGACATTGTGAGAAAAAAGTACGGAAAAAGTAGGGAACATGTCTGGTCAATAATTTGCCTGGACCGTCCGTACTTGCCAACTACGGAACGTTCCGTACTTTTTTTCCGTACCCATTTACACGGGTTCATATGGAGCAAGTACGGAACGTTCCGTACTTTTCTCCGTACCTCCGTACTATATTTTTCTGTGCCATTTCCGTACAAAAGTACGGAATTTTTTTACAGTGGATGAAGGAGATGCAGTGTGACGCAACCGAGTCTCTGGAAAACAATCCCGACTCGAAGTGGAATGGAATTAGGAGAGCCAGTCCGGTATCGCGGCGCTAATCTCCTTTTCGCCACTCGGTTGCCCGCGGGCCGGGCCGGGCTGGGGCCTCGGGGCGCCCCAACCCAACCCCAACCACCACCACACCGCCCGCCTTATCTCGTCTGTCAATACCGTAATTAAATAATAATTGATCTGGCAAAGTGCTCTGGGAGAAAGAAGGCACAGTTGATGGGCTTGCCTTGTACCCCTCCCCTCTCTTTCTATCTCTCCCTCCTCTCCCCTGCATCGGCGACACAGTGGACCCACTCTGGTCAGACCGATTTAGGGGCTTTGGCCTCGCCTCGTTGGCCCGGGACTAATTCCCGCCCCACACCACCGCACTCCCTGGTCGCAAACAAAATCAAGCCCAACTTTGATTCCAAACTTCCCAAAAGTAACAACTAGTGTTTTTTTTTGTTTTTTTTTGTCTTTTCACGGGTGATGCCAGGGGTGATGCGACCCCAGACAAGCAAACTGCACGGTCTAGCGGAGGCTCGTTGGGGCGTAGGGCCCGCACTGAAGGGTGGGGCCCTGGGGCCTGGGGCCCTGGGCTCGCACGTACCTGTTGCTGGTTCTCGCGCTGCGTGGTGAGCCGCGCCTCGATGCACTGCCTCGTCTCCAGGAAGGCCTGCCGCTTGGCCAGCTCGCTGGGGTGGTGCGTGAACACGCCCGCCATGTTGACGGCCACGAGCAGCACCACGTTGCACGCCAGCTGCAGGCAAAGCAAACCCCGGGTTCAAATACCAGACGATCTGCCGTTTTCTCTCTCCCGAGGCCGCGCGCAAGCCGAGTGAGCGTCCCGGGTTCAAACACCAGACGATCTGCCGTTTTCTCTCTCGCCGGGCGAGGCCGCGCGCAAGCCGATCCGAGGTCCGCCGCCCGGCCGGTCCGGCCGCGTCAGGTGTCCCGTGTCACCGGGGCGCCGAACCTCTTTGACGGGCAAGGGCTGCCCAGGGCTGCTCGCCTGCCACGGCGTCTTGAGTTCAAAGGGCGGCCTGCGTCCCCTCCGTCCCCGGCAGCCATACGCGCCGAGACGCCGCGCTCCTCTCCCTCCCTTTCATTAGCGACTTAGCGAGCCTCGCCGATGCGCGCCGATGTGAACGCGCCGGGGAAAACTTCGGCACCGGAAGGGAATGGGATGGATGGGAATGGGCCGCCGATGCACTGAAAAAAAAAGTTCCATCTGAAAGCATCTGTCACCAGAGGTGGCCGAGACCTCCGCGACGGCCTCGACGGAGTCCTTGACGGAGTCCTCGACGGCCTTGACGTGGAGCCAGGAAGAGAAGTCCCCGAAGGGGGCGAGGCAGGTCGCAAACCCGGCCACGGCGGGGCGGTGGGGTCCCCCGACAGGTCCATCTCGCCGTGCCAGCGGCCGGCTTAGCTGTCCCCTCACGCCGGCCACGTTAATACCGCACGGGCACGGCGCGGCACGGCCAAGCGCACATACGAGGATCGCCATGAGCACCCCGGGGCCAGCGCGGCCTAGCCCAGCCCGGCCGGCCGAGCCTGAGCCGCACCGGACGGGCACGTTACATCCGGATGACAAGGTGAGCCGCAAACGGCGACCTGCTGTCACGTCGGTCCGCCCCCACACAGTGGGCCGGAAGACCGGCGCTCCACAAAAGGCGGTTCTGCGGACCGCGAGGCGCGACGCGGCGTGGATCCTACCGATTAAAAGCGCGCCGAGTGTCGCCAGCCAGCAACCAATTACAGCGACGGAAGAAAAAAGAACAAAAAACAGTAGAGGAAAAAAACGGAAGCCCGGAAATAAAAGGCGCTTTAGCGAGATTCCGAAATCCGAGCCCTCTGTGATTGCGCGTGCCGGTCCTGCTCGGGTTCAACTCCCGGCGGCGGCGCGGTCGAGTCCGTTTTCCGGGTCGAGACTAGGGCGGGTCGCCAACCCCGAACCGAGTGCCGCGGCAACCCGACCCGCATCGACTCGGCGGTCGCTCGGTCCATCGACCGAGTCCGAAAGTCCCAACCAGGAAACGCAGACTCCGATCACGTCACTGTCTCTCCAGTGCGGGGCCGGCCGGAGGGCAGATCAAAGAGGCACGCTTTGCTGCAGGCGGAGTGGGCGCGGGCGGACTCGTTCTGTCTCTGTCGCACCCACAGCCGCACGGGTGAACCCCGTGCTCGGTGACCGGAAGGAGAGGCCGCGTCTGCCGGTCACAGGGAGGCGCTTTTGCGTGTTCCTGCCGAGCGATTCATCGCTCCGTCTCTCTCGCACCCCGACGGCACGTCCCATGAGTGCGAGAGAGACAGAGCGACGAAACAATCCGTCGGCCAGGGGCGTCACCGCACCGCCACCTCATTCCGTTCTCGCCGCTCTGTCTCTCTCGCACCGCCACGGGACGCCCCATAGTGCGAGGGAGACAGAGCGCGATGAGCCAGCTGACCGGGTAATGAGGGAGGGTCGTGTCCGCGCCTACACCGTCGCGACTACAAAAACGCGGCACAAAAGGGGCGCACTTCCGGCGCTGCCGTGTTCCTTGTTCCGCGCTCCCTGACGACGGCGTTCTTCGTAATTGGCGGATGATCGACCGCACTGCTGGCTGGCTGGCTGCCTGGCCGGGGATCGTCCGCCGAAAAAGAAGAGGTAATCAGCTTCACCGCGTCACGTGAACGGCTCGCCCGCCTCGGCTCGGCGGAGGGAAACAAAATGACGGGAAGCGATTCCCCGATGCCAGGCCGGGCCGGGCATCCGCGCAGAGCACGCCACCAGGCGGACAGGCAGGCAGGCAGACGGCGGGGCGGTGCGCTCGGGCAGGCGGGTTAGGTTTCGCCGTCTAGCCGCAGCGCATCACCCACGCCATGCCCCCGGGGCTGGCTGGCTGGGGAGCAGCCAGTCGCTGGAGTCCTGAGTCCGTCCTGGAGTCTAGCCTGGAGTCTAGCCTGGGGTTCAGCCTGGAGTCCAGCCTGGAGTCTAGCCTGGAGTCTAGCCTGGAGTCTAGCCTGGGGTCCAGCCTGGAGTCCAGCCTGGAGTCTAGCCTGGAGTCTAGCCTTGGGTTCAGCCTGGAGTCCAGCCTGGAGTCTAGCCTGGAGTCTAGCCTGGGGTTCAGCCTGGAGTCCAGCCTGGAGTCCAGCCTGGAGCGGCACGTCGGCGGGCAGTCCAGCTGTCAATTGCTCGTCGCGGAATTCCATATATTGCGCGGCGGGAATGGCGGCCGGGGAGACGGACCCGACCGTCTTGGCGGCGCCGAGGCGTCGCGGCGTCGCGAAGGCCAACAAGACCTTCTTTTCAAGCAAGCGGCCTGCAGCAGCGCCCCGTCGCCCCAGTAATTATGCTGCACAGATGCTATTTTCACACCAACCCCCACCCCTCCCCGCTTGGCAGTGTCGCAGCAGGGCACTTGGAAGGGCCGCGGAAAGGACCCGCTAAGGACGCGCCTATTCACCCTCCGGCGGCGCCAGCGGGACGAACCCGAAGAGTCGTTTCGTCACTCTGTCTCTTTTGCGACCCCTTGACTGCGACAAGGACTTCAAACGTCGCTTCGGAGTCAGTCCGCGGCAGCAGGCTGATGCCGAACGATTGAGCCGTTTTGTCGACGTGCCCCTCTCGCTCTCGCGGGGCGTCCCGCGGCGGAGCGAGGGAGACAGAGTGACGAAGCTCGGTGCGCTAGCGCGGAGTGTTCACGTCGCCGTCGACATCGTCACGTCGGCGATCAAGGCCCCCAGCACCGCGACCTCCAGCGCGTCCTGGCTCGCCGTTGGCCGCCCTGCGGACTGAGTCCGAGAGCCGTGACCGTCGCTCTGTCTCTCTCGCACCTGTACGGGGCGCCCCGTGAGTGCGAGAGAGACGACTGCTCCCGCTGCTCTCGCCGGCCGCCCATTCAGTGTAAAAAGGGCTCCGGCTCGCCAACCCCACCGCTCGCCGCGGCCAGACATTGTGGCTCCTAATGAGAAATACTCTTTGAAATGGCGCTCGCTCGGCGAGGCGAGGCGGGGCGGCCGGCAGGTATAACGCACTGCCTGGCCCAAGGCCTGGCCATGGCCAGGTCCCTCAGGGCCTCCGCGGGGATCCGCAGCCGTCGCGCTCCGTCTCTCTTGCACCCATACGGGACGCCCCACGAGTGCGAGAGAGACAGAGCGACGAAAATGACTCTCCTAACCAGTCACCAGCTCACGGCCTTACCCCGGCGTGGTGGCCTTGCTCCCAAACTCCGCCAAGGTCACAGGCCTCGCCTCGACGCGGGCGGCTGGCACACCCGTAACGACTTGCCGTGCGCTGACGTGGCGCCGCTTAGCGCTCCGCCATGCATGGCCCTCCTCGACCGGCCCCGCTCTACGCACTGGTGCGGCAGCCGAGCGCGCAGAGAGGCGGCGCCACGAGCAACGGGTCCCGGGTTCGAAACTCGCCCGAGCGCGGCTCATCAAGGACCTCGCCGAGGACCTCCGGCTCCCCGTCGAATTAGGCAGAGGGCTCGTGTCTCGGCGGTATCAGCCCTTGAGTCTATCAAGCCCCTAACTCCAGCCATCAGCCAAGGCACCAGCTAAGGCACCATCCCGCCGTAACGGCCCAACGGCGACGCGACACAGTGGGCCAGGAGACCGGTGCAGGCGGCCAAAGCTCTAGACGCGTTTTGAGCTCCAGAACCGCTAAACAGGACTCGAACAGAGCGGGTGGCCCCACCAATGGATTCCCTCGTTCGGAGAGCGATCCATTGGTGGGGTCACACGTTCGGTTCGAGTCCTGTTAAGCGACTCTGGAGCTCAAAACGCGTCCGGGATTCCGGCCTTCTTGCCCACTGTGCGGCAGCCACTGCGAGAGACAGGGCATCGGTGGCAGCCCAGCCTGCATTCCCTGGCATGCAGCTTGGTGGCACGTTAGGCGCTCGCTACGGTGGTGCTGGGCTCGCACAGGCCGAGCCCGGCAGCCCTACCTAATTGGGGGGGGGGGGAAGGGATCTGTCCCTGTCAGTCTGCCTGTCGCCGTCCGTCCGTCCGCCCGCCCTGCGGTCGCCACACAGTGTGCCACACACGCTGTCGCCGTGCCGCGCCGTGGCGCGCCGTGCCGCGCCAGACCCCCGGGGCTGGGGCTCGGTCCGCCCGGCCCGGCCAAGCCCACAGCATTACTGCAGCAATATCAGATTATCCCCTTCCATTGCCGAGGCGCGTCCAGGGCGTCCGGCCGACGTCGCGGCCCCGTCGGCAGGCTGGTCGCTCCGTCTCCCTCGCACTCACGTGGCGGGCCGTGGGGGTGCGAGAGACAGCGCGACTGCGCGTGGAACCAGCCCGCAGCCCCCAGGCCCTCGGCAGCCTGGCGACGCAGCGCCGGGCAAAAAGCCTTCTGCTGCATCGCGGCAGCGGGCAAGTTCGCTGTGCACGTCAAAGCACGCCAAAGCGCGCCAGGCAGGCATCGGAGCGCCAGCCGTTCAGGTTCACCGAGATGGAGAGCCGAGCCCGGCCGGGCCGTAGTCGAGGAGAGCTCCCTGGGCGGCCGGCACCAATCTCGTTTATTCGGTCTTGCAACGCGCTGGTCCACACACACACACACACACACACACACACACACACACACACACACACACACACACACACACACACACACACGCGCGCGCGCGCGCACACACGCACGCACACACACACACACACAGAGGCATGCACGCTACCCACCGCAAATAGCCCCCACCACTGCACCTTTTGGGGACACAGTTCCGCGACCACGCAATAACCCCCACCCCACACCGGCACGTTCATTTGGATTCACTC